CAGACATTTTTCCTCAACACTTCCCCATTTCTACACTAAGGGAAAAACAAATGTTTAGACTTTTTTTTTTTCCCCTTCCTCTTGTTTGAAACATTAAGAACCCTTCACACAAAGCAGCTCAAGTGCAGAGGAATTACTTGGGGAAATTAGGTTGTGTTGTATTTCTGGCATTTTCTCAGAGATGGTAATTACCTTAATTCTCCACCCTGCCAAGACATCCACCCCCAACCTGTTTCCCTCCTCCCCTTTTCCTCACTGTCTACCTGTCTTTCTCCTGCTTGAGTTGCTGTTTTCATGCTGTTGCCATTTATTTCATTCCAGTAATGAGAGGGATGTGGCAGGTGAAGAGCTCTCGCAATCTGGTGACATCTTCTTTGAAGCACAGGCACAAAAGAGCAGTTTGTTTTTGGGAAATAAGAACTCCCTGCTATGGTGCTTGACCTCCACGCTCACCTCTTCTCCTGCTCAGGATATGTTGCTGCTGCATTACAAGTCATTTGGTTCAGATTTTTTGTTTAATATAGTCTCAATATTCACCCGAACACTGACCTCCACGCTTAACCCCTCTATGTTCCCCCCAAACCCTCACACACTTACTGAGAGCTAATCAAAGTTCAGCCCCATTCCCAGACATTTGAATTGAGCCTTTTGCTTTCTCCCAACCATTGGACTGCGCTCCAGAGAGCTGGGAGTTCAAAGCCTTTCAGTTTAGCTTCCTGATATTTTGTTTCCTGATGTCAGTTTTGACTCCTGACCTTCCATTTGCGGAAATCATAGATGTAGTCAAATAGGAAGGAATTGTTTGTTGTTCAGTATTTCCTGACCTAAAAGACCTGGTGATGTTCATGGCAGGTTCAGATCCAATGGAGATGCTACAGTGGGTAGTAAAGTGGTGGGACTCCTTGTCTCAGGAGATGGTAAGTGCCAACAGCTGAGATGGATTGAAAAAATGATTGAACAGAGATGTAGAAGCAAAGTAATCTATCAGGGGCTATCAAACAAAATACCTCCCCTGTTTCAGGAAATCCCTGTGCCACTGATTATTGAGGACTGGAAGATATTGTGGGACATATACTGTGGGCTCTTCTGTTTCCATACTCCCCCCTATGCATCTCTGGCTGAGGTCAGGGACCCAGCTGACTGGACTTTGGCTGCTCTTAAAAGCTGTCCAGGCTGATCTCTGCTTTACTGGGAGCTGGAGAGAGTACTGGGCGTAACCAGTCAAATGCTGGACCCAGCTGCGGGGTAGTGACACCGCCCCCAGGAAGTCAGAGGTTCAGGTCAGTTCAGAAAACCTGTTCACCTCTGCTGTGAAAACTTCAGACAGCAAGTTTCCTGCAGGGATTTCAGGAGCCCTTTCCTTCAAAGCCCTCTCCCATAAAACTTAACTAGAGAGGGCAGGACTCTTCCATTTTCAGTGTTCCCTGGGTACAGCCAACAGATCCAAAAAGGGTGATCCCCACCCATCCTTGAGTAGTTTCCCCCTCCCCTCGACTGTGAAACTTGTTTTTTTCCTCTGTTCTAATTTGTATTGTCCAAGTGCGGTTCCCAACCACCTGCTAGTGGCTGCCTGCATGCAATGTGATCCCTTCCTCCCGCTGTTCCCACTCTGAACATCCCATTAGCCTGAAAGCTGTGAGATAGATGGAAAAGAGCACAGTGCCTAGTTTGGAGCCACAGAGACTCTTCTGTGGTGGAGATCCAGCCAAAACATGTTCCTCTGTGGCATCACTGGAAACAAGGAAGGGTTTTGTACAGGGCAGGCCAGAGGAGCTGATGGTTCCTGTGTTTTACCAAGATGGCCTGATTTAAACTGTAGCTAGAGCAGAAGAAGGTGGAGAACCACATGCCAGCGAGTTTCATTGTTCTAGCCCCAGGTGGACCAGAAACAGTGTGTGTGCTCCTGAGCATATGGAAACAAAGCGTTCGCGCTTTGGAAAGAGCACTGCCACTTACAATCGAGGGAGACCTGGACGTGTAAACCCCTCCCCTCTCACCTTCTCTACGTTGTTGAACCCATTTCCCTGCTGCATCCCAGCTGGCCAGTAGCCTCCTCCTGCCTTCCCACCTGCAGGACCATGATCTCAGCTTTCCTTTACCATGGGGACAGCCATGAGATCACACATTAGTCGGGAAAGGTGGGGAGCATCCCCAAACCTCAGTATGATCAGCAAAAGAATCGGAGGCAGAGAAGTTATAAGCCAGTTTAGTGGGAGCATGAATAAATTACGACTTGGCTTGCTTTTTTTTCCTGATTTTTGGAGTGGAGTAGTGACTTTTTGAGTGAGATAGACTTAAAGGTTTTCCCCAGTGTGAAAAGCCTTGCTTCAAGACAAACTGAAGATCTCCCTAGAAAAATTAAGATGCAAATATCTTCTTTGTCCTCCTTAATTAAGATGTTTGCATGGAAAGAAACCATTACCTTTCTTTTTTCCTCCTGATTCCTGCGTGGTCAGAGTTTCCGCAGGCTTTCCCCTCCTGATCCCCCCCCATTTCATAGTCCTGCCTCTCTCACAGCCACAGCGAGCTCCTTCTCCACGCCAGCTGGATGGAGAAAGCCCCTATTTGCAAGCAGCTGTCTTTAATAAACAGGCTGTTTAGGGCTAGGCTGTCAAAGAGAGCACGTTCAATGTATAATCAAGGGGCAACGATGCACAAAATTGCACACACACAAAAAATAGGAATCTTTTCTCGGTGTGTGTTGAGCTTTGAACGCTTAAGTGATTCCACCTCTCTCTTCCCCATCCAATTACGCAGGCAACACATGGTAAGATTGCTAAAGGAATTAGTGAGGGAAATCTTTACACTGCCTTATCAATATTGTTCTGCTCAGTACAAGGCATCTCCCCTCCTCTGGCCCCAGTCGTGTTCTCATTTGCCCTCTGAAAACACAAGTTCACCTTCTCGCTGTTTGGGCTGTGGTGACCAAGAGGAAAAACAGCAGCATGTCTGTTGAAAATGTTTGTAGTTACAGAGTTTCTTCCTCGCATTAAAAAAAAAAAAAAAAAAAGATGTAATATAGCCCTGCCAAAGCCACGTTTTGGGATTTTAAAGAGGCTTCCTGTGCAGGCCAGACAGACCTTTCCTCTGTTACAATTGTATGGCCTTACAGAAGTGGCCAGCAACCTTATAAGCAAAGACACTGGATGATAATTTTTCTAAGCATCACTGAGGCAAGATGCCAGATTTTATGGGCCACTAGACTGATCCAATATAGCAAATCCTGTGTTCCGCTGCGGATTCTGAGACCAAATTATCAATTAATGTGAAGCATTAAAAAATCCAAATCCCTTTTAGTTCCCTGCAGTCATTAGTGACAAGATACAATATCTATAGCTCAAATGCTTTGCCAGCATCCCCTGGCAGCAAGGCAGAAACTCCACTCCTATTTTTTCCAATACATGCAAGGAAAACATATGAGATCAGTGGTTTTTACAGTCAGATTCAGCTGCCGCTTCATATTTACTTAGATGGAGGAATAAATCAGGTTTGGGTTACTCTCTGGGTTAGTTATTTGTTATTGGAATAAATGCATGGTAATAGATCTGACAGAAGAAGATGTTTCTCTTTCAGCTCTGTGTTTGAGGTAGAATTTGCTTTGTTCTGCACTATATTATATTGATGTTTTTTCCCACTGCTGGATGACTTCATTTGCTCTGCTTCTTTCCAATGTCCATACCTCTGCCACAGCTGGCTTTAGGATGTGGCTTTATGCGATAGATCTCTCTTTTCTTTTTCCCTAACTGTAACATTGTAATGCAGAGGCAGTTTAAACAACCATCATGAAACAATTTTCTAAGCCTTTCCCCCACCCATTTCCTACCTCAACTTTTTGGGAAGGGAGGCGAGTCAGTCATTCACGGGGCAATTCCCCAAGCAGAATGAGCTGTCAGCTACATTTAGCAGCTCAGTTTTCGCCTCTGGTGCGGGGTGGGAAGGCGCCCAGGGTGATGACTAGCTGGACACACCCTGAGGCCGTATTTTTGGTATTCCCTGGGCAACTGTCAGCCTGAGTAGCGCAGCCAGACGTCTTCCCCCAAACCACTGTGCTCACCAACTGCCCTTTCATCTTGGGATTTTGTCTCCTTTTTGTCCCGGTGGGAACACGAACACCTTACTAGAAAGTCAGCAGACCTTATGCTCGTCATTCACTCCTAATTTGCACACTGAGATCCCTACCCCTTCTCCTCCCTCCCATTCCCCAAATCTTTCCTACTTTGATACACGGGAAAAAGTAGTGCTGTATTATTTGCTCCATCATTTCGCTTCCCTTGTCCCCTCCTAAGGTTCAGTTTTGCAAGCGCTGGCAGGTTTGCGGGTGATCGGGAGCTGTGGGATGAGTTTTTTCTTCCTCCCCCAACCTGGAACAGTACTGATGGGACAAAGACTTTCGGGGAAGCGTAGGGTGATGTACCAGGTTCTTCACTGGGACATCTGGCCAATGATGCCCTTAACTCTGGCTAACCCAAACTTGCTTGAGTAAAGACATCAGGCCTGGGTCTTGTTCTGCTGGCAGAGACGGATCCCTGCACTGTGCCCAGGAGGGCTGGCGATGGCCAAGGAGCAGGATGGTTAAGTACCAGATACAGAGGAAACACTCAAGCCTCCTGAAACTTCTCCCGTCAGAGAGGGACTCTGGGTCCCCCAAGGGATGTGGCTTCACAGTCCAAGAAGAAGTTTCAGGAGGCCAGAGCACCTTTTGACTCTTGCCCAGCACCAGTGCTCATTCCTCGCCCTTCCTCTGTACTGGTGCAGGTGATGGTGTGGGGTCCAAGGTGGTGGTCACCAGGGCCAGGGGGTCTCACCCGCCCTGTCCCCCCGCAGCAAGGGTTGTGCAGTGTTGGGATGTTGTAGCCAGTGAAAGACGTACGGTTCGGTTAAAGACATACCCTTTCCCTTCTTGTCCTCTTGCTTCATCCCCCCCATCCCTCCCTCCCTCTCTCACCCTTCCCTTCTCTTTTGTTTGTCTCCTTCCCTTGTTTTCACCCATTCACTGTCAGGAAGGGCCGCGTCCGAAGGGCCAGTTCAGCGCAGCGTGGCAGCGACAGAGACTGGCACCGCCGGCAGCTGCAACAGTGAGTGGATCTCGACCCCTGGGGCAGCTGGAAGCGGGGGACTGGTGCCGCTTGAGCATGAAATGACACGTGGGGTTGAGCGGCTTTGGGACTAGGTCGGGTCTAGTGTGTTTGGCAGCGAAGGGGCTCTCCTGTGTGATGGGAACTGCACATGTTACTATAGCAACTCTCTGGGGCTTGTCTGTACGGTGAGATAATATGGGATGAATGCAAAAGTCCTCAGTGCGATCTTCCTCCGTGGGTGTTCAGGCTGTGTCTGCACTAGTGGACAGTGTGGGCCGTCCTCTGCCTCTGATGGCAGCGAGCGCAGCATGGTTTGTCTCCATGCAGCTAAACAGCTCCGTGCCTCCAAGCAGGGTGGCATTTGCACTGCTCACCGGGAACTGTCCTTGACTTGTGTTGTCCTCTCAACCGTTGTTTGGACCCTGTCAAATTGGCGTGGGCTAAAACCAGACCATTTGAACAGTTGGACCGTCACATGCCAGCCCTGACGCCTTTTGTCTGCTAGTCTAGACGCAGCCTCGGTGTCTGACCGGTTGGGTGCTTGCAGCTGCGATTGAGTGGATGTCAACCATGACTGCCCCACCGCTCCTCCCATCCCTTGCCCAGTGGAGGGCCAGTGAGAGATCGGTGTGGGTTCGATGCTCTGGCAGCGCAAAGGAGTTTGGGTTTGCCAAGGTGGTGGCTGATGGGAGCCGTGCGAGCCAGCTGAGAGCCGGTAACACCTCTCTTCACCCTGCCCTCCCTCCCACAGAGGCGAGCCATCATCCCGTGGTGCTCACTGCATGCTGGAGCCTCTGTGTAGGGATGGTCAGCCCAGTGGGTCCCCAACTGTCACAGCATCCCAGAAGCCACCGCCAGCAAGCTGCAAGGCTACTGGAGGTGAGCTGCAGAAGCCTGTGAGAGGGGCAAACATTGAACTTGATTGTCCTGTGTCGTTTTGCTGCTGGCACACAAGGAAGTGGTCTGTTGATCCAGAAAGTTGGAGAGCCTTTGCTTGAGTCCGTTTTGGAAGTGGATTGAGGTGATCCACCCAAAGACACTGTCTTTGCAGAGCAGTTATGACCCCTCATAAGTTAAGGCAGGAAAGTGATGGCTTCCACACTTTATTTCTCAATAGCTTCCCTGTGCCAGCAAGCCCAGAGAGATGGACATAAATATTTGCAAAGTAGCCATGACTGGGACAAATTACCGAGGTCCAATTACCCAAACCTCCCTGTGACATTGCTAGGTGAGGTATATGCTCCTGGCCAGGTGATGAAGGACTCGCTGTCCCACTGCCCAGCCTCCTCCCAGCATCACCACCACTCCTCCTGCCCCGGCAGCGACGGGGATTAAGCGAGTGCCTACATGGTGTTAAGCAGCTGAGTGGATCTCACAAAGCCCTCCCGGGATCCGTGACGGAGCAGGGCTTTGGCAGTTCCTGACTGTTGCCAGAATCACATGGGAGTGTGAGTTTAGATATCGCTGATTTTACAGGGGATATGTCAGCGGATAAGAAGACGTGCCACCGAAAGGTGATTTTGTTACGTTTATGCCTTTCCGAGCCAAAATTGAATTGTGGGGTGTGGATGGGAATTTAGTTCTAAGCACTGATGTAATTTTGTATCCTCAGCCCTGAAGGCAGTTTTTAAAAAATTATTTTCCCTTGTGCCCTGACACTATTTTTTTGCCATTCAATCATGTCCTTATGACAGAACAAATACTGGGGTTGACCTTTGCAATGTGACATAATAATATGTGACTTCTTTATAGCTCTTTTCATCCAAAATGCTTGGCACACTATGAATCTGATCCTGCAGCCGCTTACCACTGGGCTTAGCACTCACTGCTCCCAGCAATCCCTGGGAAGCCAGAGGAGCACTCACACACAGAATTGCTATACCTGGTATTATTTGCAGGATCAGGCCCTGGAGAAATGTAGCACATGTCTGTGAATAGCCACATTTTGGAGAGAGAAAGCCTTGCCCTCTCATTTATGATTTTATTCACTATCAGAGTGCCATGCCCAGCACTAATATGACAGCCTCCCCTTGGCTAAAATGTCATGGCAAGTAATGCTTGAGTCATATTTATAGCTATCATCTACAACTGTGTTGCTTCTTTTTATTATTTTTTTACCAGCCCTGAAAGCATGCTAATTAATAAACTCCCTTAGCTTATCCTGCACCATTTAATCCTGCAGAAATCACAGCATTTTATCTTCTTAGCAAGTAGGAATTAAAAAATTAAAACTACTCAAGGGGGAAGAAGGAACATAACCACTTTCCTCGTGCATGCCTTCTGAAACAACCTTGCACTGTGCCCTCAGAAACCCCAAGCCGCTTTGGCTTGACAGAGGATGGGAATCCCAGACCAGTGAATACTTGGGCTGAAAAACGCTTTCTGCTCTGCTATTCCTGTTCTGAAAGAGAGAGCTCAGTTAGGTGTATGGAGAAGAAGAGGAGTCCCAGCAGTGAGATCCTAGCCGTGGACTGGGCTGCAGGTCCCTTCCATGCTATCAATGTCCTCTGTGGCCGCAGGAAATTCAGTTAGTCCTTCCGTGCCTCAGTTTCCCATTGTTAAAAGGTGATCCCTGCTCATTTTCACCAAGGAGATTCACATGAAAAAAAGATTGCAAGGGACACAGTCATTATGGTGTTGGGACACAGGTAAGTACCTTAGAAATACATAGGGAACCTGTGAGCTGAGACATTTGTGGTACTGGTTCAAGGGGAGTGAATTTTGGAAGTCCTCAGTAGTTGGAAAATGCAAAGAGGGAAGCAGGTAGCATCCTTGTGCCCACCTCTGCTTGGTATGTTCAGGATGGGCAGAACCAGAGAAGAGAGACTTTGCTCCACCTTCTTGGTGATGGGAAGTGGTTAAATCTGGGATGGAGACCCACTAACCATCAGCAGGTATCTACACGCTTCCCTGTTGTTTGCCAACAGTAGAGCACTGCATCCCCCCCCCCGCCCTTAAAAAATACATTCATTAGGAGTAGAGAGGGCTGGAAGGGATTCCCTGGATCATCAAATCCTATCCCCTGTTGCATCAATCACATCAGATTTATCTTTTTCATAATCAAGCACTACTATTAAATGTGCTCCTGAGGGAAGACAGTCCCAGAATCTCATTGCTTTAACTCGTAGATGCTTCTAATTTCCAGTCTATGCTTAGTCATGGCCCGTTTGTTAAACAGCAGGTACCTGGCACAGAAGCAAGAAATTTAACACAGTTTTCTTAAAATAATCACCCAGCAATCCTATCCACAAAAAAATGCTGAGGTTGCAAAGGGGAACGTGCAAGGTCAGGTAATGATAATGGGGAGGCCCGAGCTCACACTTGCCTCTGCCTTGTAGTACAGATTTTACATAATCACTTGCCGTTAATCTTATATGATCCAGTTGAAGTACAAGGCAGAAGTACTCACAGAACAAAGGAACTTCTTTGCTGTTCTTCTCCATAATATTCATTGTGTAACCTTCTCTTTCTTTTACCAGGTATAACTAACCCTGAGCTAAACATTTGACTATTTTTCCCTTTCTTGGCAGGCTTTTCCATGCCATTTATTACTTTGCTGTACAAGTCATTACCTGCACAGCATCTTTGAGAAGTCAGTGAGTTGCATTGCCCCAGTTTACAGGTTAGGAAACGAAGCACAGAGCTATCAGCCTTATCCACCCCTAGAGCTGCAAGGGCAACTTTCCACCTCCAAAATGCCCCTGCTTTATTCAGTGCAGTCTTATTCACTCCAAATCATGCAATTGCTACCCAGCCAGACTAGAAAGGGGCTGATGCAGGGGAAATGATGGGATGCTCTAGACCCATGACTTGCTTGCTTTACAATCTTGTCCAGTTAGTTAATCAGAGTGTGCAATGAATGAGGGGGGGAAAGAAATAGGTGAGTATAGGCAGAAGTGCAAAACTGCTGTGTTACCCATTGCAGCACCCATCAGTTGTGACCCAGCCCGTAGAGGGCAATGGCACAGGGAGTCGCACAGGCTCAGATCGGGTCACTGTGGCGCAGCAGAATCGGCCAGAGTGACTAAGGAGGAGGGCTCACTTGACAAAAACAGGTTTGCAACTAGGACACCGAAATCCCATGTTTGCTTATTTAACTTGGCAGGTATTCAAGTGAAACAGGCAGGGAGGGGAAGTGTCAGAGCTGATCTTGGTACCAGCATGTGGGATTTTGACTTTCTATTTCAGTGTTCCTGTTTGGAAAAGAAATGCACTCAGAGCCCCCCTCCCACCCCCCGCCTTCCCCCCTTTTTTTTTTAAGCATTATTTAAATGTCATAAGAATCTTACAGGGCCCACCCTAATGTTCCTAACAAATTAAAATATTTTATTAGTCTATAATCTGAAAATCATTACCGTGGTAACTATAAAAACCCAAAGCTCTCCGGAGGGAATGATGTCAGCAGGTCTAAAACACGTGCAAATGTATTTCATTGCCATAAAGGTACCAAGGGTCAGACAGGCAACCCCCAGCCCCGGGGCGACAGGCTGTTAGCATGGGAAGGAATGAAGTGCATCTCACAGCAGGGAGGGAGAAAACTTATCTCTTGGCTGGTTTTCCTGGAGTTTTGCAGGGTGAATGCCTGGGGCTGTGCCTGGCTGGTTTGGATGGTTTCAGAGGAAGGCGTTGGTGCCGTTCCCACGCAATTCTCTCGCGGTGAGGGTAAGAAAGCGCTCCGGACGGCTCACCCCCATCACGGATGAGCCGCTCTGAACCTCTGGCCCCGTCCTGCTAACGCAGACAGGGTGGGTGCCCGTTCCCCTCAGGCATCCACATGCCCCTGGTGCCCCCTTCCTCCTGCAGATGACTCTGGATGTGTCCCTCCAAATAAGCGATGCCTAACGCAGGGCAGGCAGGAGACAGCCGCATCCAGCTCTGAGAAAGCAGCCCGTGCCCGCTGCCCCAGCCAGCTCCCCAGGCGGAGAGTCTGGGTGACAAAGTGGCCCCTGCTTTGGCCGGGTGACACCAGACACTCCCAGAGCGGTGGCTGCTGAGCC